CGGCTCTCCTTCCCTTCTCTCCACTGAGGTTTTGAATTGGTTTCTTGTAAGTCTTTATATATTAAGGAAGCTGGTCCTTCATCTATGTTGTGAGCTGCAAGTATTCTTGCCCAATTCCCCACCTGCACCTTAACTCTGGTGTTCTTGTATTACAAAAGTCATTTTGTGTTAGTTTGTGGTCCTAGTTTTTAAATCTTTTACTTCTGAAGCTTGTCTTCTTGCTCCAAACAGTAAAACACATTCCAGGTGGTTTTATTGGTTTACTTACAATTTCTCTCAATCCATTTAAATCTTTAATTGATTTAAAATTTGCCTTTAAATTTTTGAGACAGTTTTGTGTAGCCTAGGCTGACCTTGAACTTTCTATGTGGCTGAAGGTGACCTTGAACTTGTGATCCTCTTGCCTCTACCTCCAGAGTTCTGTGCTGCTATGCCTGGTTTTAATTTTATCATTCTGGACAGGAAATGGGCTGTGGATCGGACACCATCTTTCTCTAACCCTCCCTTCTTCCTTGAAATACTCTGCCTGTGGCTTTTAAGGCTCCATGGAAGGACACAGAAAGACTCCATTTTTAAAAAGGGACGGGGTCATCATTCAGTAATCTGCTCTCCCTATTTATCTTGCTTTTCATAAGTTTCATTTACCCCCCAGGGCTTTGATCCATGGGCTGAGAATTCACAGTTTATGTGATGGCTCCAGACACAGACTACTTGGAGGTCTCCATTTAAATGAGCCTCTCAAATGTCAAATGTCCAACTCTGATCCCATCAAGTCTGCTCTTCCCCAAGGCAGAAGACGGCGAGCCTTGCTGGAGCCTTTGACCAGTGGATGGAGCTGGAAGTGATGACAGAGCGGTCCCATGTCTCTCCTCCTCCCTTCTTTCTCTACATCTGTCATCCTCAAAATCTGCTAGCTTGATTTCCAAAATCACATCTCAGCTCATCTGCTTGTCCCCCATCTCCTCTGTCTCTACTATAGTCTAGGATCCTTCACCTGCCTAAACCAGACCCTCCCTTGGGTCTCCCTGTGTCCATTCATGCTACTGGGAGATTGGCAAACCTCATGTCATCCATCTCAATCCATTTTCCCCTTCCTCCTTCCCATCTCTCTCTCTCTCTCTGTGTCTCTGTCTCTCTATCTCTGTCTCCATCTGTCTCTGTCACACACACACACACACACACACACACACACACACACACACACACACACGTTCTTAAGAAAAATTCTGAGAAGTTTCATATAAATCTTATTTACAGCCATAAAATTGGAAAACTCCCCACAGCCAGGAAGGTGTTGTGAGACACTAATATTTGCGGTACCTGGGGGGGACAGACGTTTGTTGGGGAAAATGTCTAGGGGATTCCCATAGAGGAAGCAGTGTTTGTGTGGACACGAAGGTGACCAGATGCTCATCTTGTGTAACTAGAACATTATTTATGGGAATAAAACAATAGAAATAAGTCATCAATGGTTTCTCTGAACACTGGTGTTTTACACCAGTGATAAGCTTGAGATGAGACTTCCTCCGAGGAGACTCACTGTAGGAAGGAACAGGGAATTCCTGGAATAAGAAAAGAGGGCAGGATGCATCCTCCGTGGGGGCTACATGGAGGATCTGTAGAGCAAAAGATCCTTTGGGAAAAAAAAATGAGTTTGGCTTTCTGACAGTCTCACTTCCTCCCAGGATCTGGCTCCCATTCATCAGAGGCCATTCTCTAGGTAAGTTAGCAGTCAAAAGTCACAGAAGCTGGACCTGGGCACCTTAGACGGTTGAAGAGACTCTGATATAATGCCAACAGACCCCTCAATTCTGCCTCATTTACTTCTCCCAGGACCCCAAGAGGCGGGTGTCACGTCTCCTGTTAGTAGGAAGCTGCCATCCTTTGCCTAAAGACATCTGGCCCATACAGGGCATAGAAGAGCTAGGAATGTGAGTCCAGGTCTGTGGGAGCTCAAGCCCTTCCAAGGTAGACTCCCTTCTTTCTGGATCATGGAACCTGTACATACAGATACCCGCAGCTCTGAGTCTGCTCTCAGCCAGGAGAGAACTGATCTCTATCAAATTGACTCCTAAAGCGGCTGCATGGGACATCCTAGAAGCTAGTGCTTGCTAGAGATTGCTTCCTGCTCCGATCCAAAGCCTTTGAATCATAAGGTGCCCAGTGAACCTTGCTGCTTGGGTGAACCTGGGATGTAAATGGACCTACAAGAAATATAACATCTTCTGGCCTCTGAGACCTTCATTTTCTCTGTGCTAATATGGGTCCTATACTAACTGGGACAGTACAATTCCTGCAGTTGATAAGACAACACTCCGTGAAATGGCTGTGAATGTGTGTGCATGTGTGTTGCATATATGAGTGTGTGTGTGTGTGTGTGTGTGTGTTTTCAAATACAGACTCTTGGGAAAACAGAGAATACCTGGCCTTTTTTGCCATTAAAGACCAGAGGCTGGTAGAATCCCTCTGAGCCATAGAGTCCTAGAAGAGCCTGAGTTAATTCATCAGCAAGGCCAGTATGAACTTCATATCCTCTGTTTCTCATGCGGCCATCTGCAAAAAGTCTCCAGTATCTTACAGTTCCTCTGCTCAAGAGCCAGCATCCATTTCCCACTGCTCAAATCTGCACTCGCCCTGTGTCTGGCTTTGGCCAATGGATGGAGCTGGAAGCCATGATAGACCAGGTCCATGCCTAGGCCTCAAGAGGTCTGGCAGCTTCTGGACTTGCTGCTCTGGGAAACCTGCTCCCACCTTGTGAACAGCCTCAGACTAGCTGTCTGGGGGATGAGCGCTCTGGTGGAGCAGAAGCGACCGCCACATCAACTAGCAGGAGGCTTTTCCAGATCTTATAGCTGCCGCTCCGGAAGAGCCTCTCAGCTGAGCCCAGCCAAGCTGCCAACCAATACGACCACAGACTACCTACACATTTGCTGTTTTAGCCACTGGATTGTGAAGTACTTGTTTTGCAGCAAAAAAATGGTATACTCTGAGAAGTCTAGGCTGCCTTTGCAAAGTCGCTGCTATTAAATTTGACTTCAGCAACTGGCTGGACTTAATCTTACAGAATTCTAATTATTGTTATTACTGTGATTGTTATTATTAGACGAGTATTGCTGTACTAGGTATATACAGGTATCCAAGACAGGACTCAGACTTACTCTCTTCCTGCCTCAAGCTCCCAAGCACTGGGAATCCAGGTGTGCATCACTATACACAGCTCCTAGTGTCTTCTTTTAAGTCAGACAGACCCTTTGAAGACAGCAAAAAGATCTAGAAGAATTTTTTTTTCCCTTTGGTTTTTTGAGATAGGGTTTCTTTGTGTAGCTTTGGAGCTTTTCCTGGAACTCACTCTGTAGCCCAGGCTGGCCTCAAACTCACAGAGATCTGCCTGGCTCTGCCTCCTGAGTGCTGGGATTAAAGGCGTGCACCACCCAACTGGAAGAATTCTTGAGAAGTCCAACTATCCTGTTCTCCTGTTAGGGAAGGTGGGGTTCAAAAGATAGATTAAAAAGGCCACCTTCACACATTGCACCAATGTCCCTGGA